AATTCGCATGCATATATTTTAATCAGTGGTTATGCAAAGCTACAGAAACAACATAAGATCTCTTGAGGGACATGGAAAAAAAATAAATATCCATTGCTAAAAGAAAAACTCTACAAAAGAGAATCAATAGCTTTAGCTCCACCTAATTAGAAACGGAAATGCATTTTAAATTCCATTTACATAACCATATTTGTATAAACTAACAGGATTCTTAAATTTTTACTGTTTTACTATATGATATCTTAAAGGACGTTGATTTATACTTCAAATGAGTCACTCCTGAAAGTTAATAAAGATAAATTATTTATTTATCAGTAATCAACTTCAAATCATACAAGATAATCCTACAAAACACTGACAAGTTTCAAACGAGAAGCAAACATATTGTTGTAATTGGAAAATCACATTAAAAATCATAAATTCCACTTCCCAGCTGAATAGCTCATTCACCCATATCATATATCATGGAGATGTATATAAAATATTTACCTGATATATAGGCACATCCTCAATAGGAAGCTCAGCTCCAAGATCCCCACGAGCAACCATTGCCTGGACAACATTATAGATGACCAGAACATCAAAACCATGACTTCATATGGACAAAGGTATCATTAGAGAAGAAAGGCTTATAAAGAAGGAAAATTGAAAAATGACCTACCCCATCCGATGCTGTAATTATAGATTGAAGGTTTGGTATTGAATCTGCACTTTCAATCTTCACTATAACATCAATATCAGCATTGCAACCTATAAAGTAGATAAAACGAAGTCAGCAACAATTGAGTGCTGGAAAGCATATTCTAAAGAGAAAAAAGCTATGTCATCTTTACTTTTAAGGTAATTTTTCAACTCAATAACAACTTTCTTATCCTTCACAAATGAAACAGCATAGAAATCAACTTTATTCTCAACCCCAAACTTAATGTCCTCCCAATCTTTGTCTGCAAAAATGACACAAGAAGACAAATTATCACACATAAAATGATGCAAAGAAGATGCATGGAAAAATATTAAGTAGATGGAAAAACAAACCTGTTATTGATGGGAGATTTGCACTTTTACCACGCACATTCAAATGCCGCCTAGATTTGAGCTCCCCACCATCAATTACCTGGCATTTTACGGTGTCTTCTGTCTTGGATTTCACGGCAAGTGATATCATTCCACCTAACATAATAAAGCAGTTTCAATAAACACCAGAGTCCAGTATTGAAGAATATATCTACCACACTAGGAATTATAGGAAACTCTCTCTACTTGGACCAACCAAATGCACATAAAGCCCCGTTAGATTACAGCTCTATAAAAGTGCAGAATCTAACTCTCATGGGCTGAGTTATGTTGTAGAACCGTGAGAAATACTGCTTCCTGGGCTAGAGTAACTACATCACGTATGTAACTAAGAAACCAAAATTTGTAACACATAAGATATATGACACTGATATATGTATAGCATTTCAACCACTTGATATCAAGTTCCAGACAGAAAGATGGCTAGTACTAACATCCATATTGAACTTAACTCTGTATTCGTCACCAACATTATCAACTATTAGACCCATTTTCAAAAACATAGCACGCTTTCTACAAGCCAAATGTGTTTCACACTATGATTTCTAGAATCATCTATTATCCTCCTATAATATTACACCAAGGTCCATTCTCATATCCCAATAGGTCCCATGATTCCTTCATCACTCATAGATTTTAGATGCAAATTGAATGAAGGTTCAATGTAACTAAAAGTTGCACCTACATTCTTGTGTGCATAACAGCAAAGATATAAAACCTCACAAACAAAAACAATCAATTATAGGTCAGCAAGAGCCTTTTTCTTTCAGCCAATTAGCATAATACAATTTGTAGCTTTACTATAGCAACTAAATACAGGGTATCACATCTATTAAAATATAATCTTTACAAAAAAAAAAAAAAAGCTAAAATACTTACCATCAACCAGAAGTATATCTCCAGCCCCTACATCATTCACAAAATTATCATAATTGACACTGACAGTATTCTGTGTGCTTACTCCTCTTTTGATAGTAAAATTGAATTCTTGTCCCTCTTCTAGTAAGATAGGTTGAGGTACATCTCCACTTCTAACCTCAGGACCCTATATGAAAACAAATACAATAGCACAACTTTTACTCTAAGTCACGCATAATAAGCGTCAAAGCAAGAGCAAAAGAAGAGAGAGGTTCTGTAGGAATACAGAATGAGATCCGATTCATGAGGTTAAGAATTGTAAGCAAGGAATTGTTTTTTACATGAATACAGAGTTAATAAACAGAAATGAAAACATGACCCAAGTCACATAAAGTATGGTAATAAATCACTTCTGTACTTCCCTAAAAGATCAGATAATCCGTCAGACTTTACTGCATAACAAAATAGAATCTGTGGTTGTCCAGGCAGCCATTAAGGCTAAGTTGGGAAGAATTAAAATCCCACCTTATGAGACTTAGGGTGTGTCTATGATTTAAACATATGGCTTAAAATACATGTGAACAGGCTAAAACATCAACCAAATAAACATCAAAATTAATCACTGCGAGAGAAGCAGCACACAGCCATTAACACTCAGGTAACCCAATAAATCCTATACATTATGAATCACAACAGATATCCAGTCTTCCCAAATGGATGTTTCTGAGCAACACGGCTATCCAACAGTCTTACCTCTTCATAGCCATTTCAAATATGGAATAGCTAAAACACCAATATTCTATTGTTGTCTATGAACTTGTGATACAGATAAGGATTGTGGTTCAAGCGCAAAAATGGATTAGTGATGCAGGTTTGTTGCAAACTACTTCTTTACGAAGATAACTGACAATAATGAATTAGTGGTTGTGCAGGATAAAATCTCCACTGCGAATAAATCCCAATGGAAGAGCGTGAAGATTATGCATCCAACTCTAGAGGTGTCAAAAGAGTTCAGCTTGAATTCCTCACACCAGAAGTTCATAAGAGCAAAAATCAGGCAAGAAAAAACAGCATAAATCATAAAACTAACGACGAATATCTGGCACTTAAACAAAAATGACAGAGTAATTAAAGAGCATTGTATATTACCTTGGTATCCAACATTATAGAAATAACCTTGTCATCAAAGTGAGCATTGTATTCTCTAACCAAATCAATGGTTTTCTGATGTGAAGCATGGTCACCATGTGACATATTTAATCGCGCCACATTCATTCCTTCCTCTGCTAGTTTCCAAATCATTTCACGACTGCTCGTCGAAGGACCAATCGTACAAACAATTTTAGTTTTTCGCCAAGCATTAGATTTCGGTTCATCCGAAAGTAAATCAACAGATTGCAGCACAAAAGGACCCTATAGAGCAGCATACATAAACAAAGTTCCAATTAGTTCAATGATGCAACCAAATCATCCAAAACCCACAATCACAAAAATTCAAAAATTTCTCCATTCAACTCGTAACAAATCTCGTAGCCAATAACAATGCATTAAATTCAAAACAATAACATCGATTCCTCTGATTATAAACACTTAACTATCATTCATTAACGCGATATTCTTGTCAAATATGAATTGAAATATCACATGGAAATCAATCAATAAAATTGGACAAATAAATACAAATTAAATAAAAACTCACAGGGGAGATAGGGCCGTTGGGAAAATCGAAACTAGTTGCAGGTTCAGTGCTTTTAACAGATCGAACAGTAAAGGACTCCTTCGATAAACATCGTTTTGCGCTTCTAATGCTTAGAATCCTACCATTGTTGCTAGAACAACCACCTTTGAAGAAAACTTCGCTGACATTTTTAGCAGACGATAAACGACGATCAGAAACGACGTCGGATTTCAGCATTGACATTTGCGACGTAAGATTCATAGTCGCCATTATTGATGAATTCGAGAAAAGAGATGGATGAATGCAGGGTATAAGAGAGGGGCGGAACTCCTGAGGTTTTGAGCTACTTATTATGAACTAATAATAATTCGGGGTTTTTTTGTGGTGTAAATCATTGAGAGTAATTAATATTTTAATTATTAAATAATTAGTGTTACAGAGAGAAGAGGGGTATGAAAGAGAAACAAAAGGAAGGGGGTTGAACGGCTCCTAAAGTGTTGGGTCAGATTTGAAGTATCTGCCCTACCTACCTGGAGCGAGTATTTTACCCCACGTGACACGTGACTTATTTTCTCTTTCTTTTTTTAGGAACATCTATGCCACTGTAATGTGTAAAGGCATCTTTTCTTTCAAGATTCCTAAAGTATCCTAACTCCTAAACTCTTAACTCTCTCTGGTTTTTGTTTTGCAATAAGTGCCACTTCTACAGTCCTACTCCTACCCAAATGTCTCTAGCTGTCTAGTACGGGGTATGTGACTAGTGTGACTGTGAGTGTTCAAGGTCCGGTTTGATGTACTCCGTAAGTCCGTAGTTTAATTTGACACCCGAATCAAACCATATACGGAGTATCATATATGGGTGTGATGAAAAATTTATAGAAAATGAGAAAACACAGGTATTTTAACCTGAGATACATATCAGGGGCAAATTCGTCATTTTTAGTGCATAACTTGGGTTAGTTTTGCAATTTTGTCAAAAAAAATTTTGTATTTTCACGCTATAATAGAAGGCTTCAATGAAGCATTGAAGAACTTCAATGGAGAAATGGAATAGTTGAAGGGGCTTCAATGGAGGACGACCTAAAACCTTCCCCGTAAGGTTTAACCTTGCCCTTCTTTTCTCCCTTTATAGTTAGGGTTTTCGTTGATAATATGGTGGTGACAGTAGTTGTTCACGACCCACTTCTATGGAGGAGGAGGAAGCATGAACAAGATTAAGATGAAAAAGATGAGGCAGGAAGAAGAAGAAAACATAGAAGAAATAGTACAAAAAAAATATTAAAAAATTCATATAATTCTTCTTATTTACAAATATGCCATATTGAGATACATTAATGTATCTTTTTTTTTTTTTTTAAGGAAATACATCTATATATTTCATGCTGAGATAATGGGGTTAGCTGCCCTAGCTCTAAATAACTACTACTATTTATGAAATATTTTATTTTGTATTTATTAAAATATAGAGATAGTTTTTTGCACTTATTGAAATAGGATGGATGCATATTAGATTGATCCCTTTTTTCAATGATGTTTTACTTGTATAAAGTTATGTGCCAGCTTCCTCCTCAGTCAAATCTAACTTCACCCTTGCTTCATATAATGTTTTACTTGTATGAGTAATAATTAGTAATAAGTGGTTTCTTTTTCAACCTTTTATTTTTTGAAAAACATGTGGCCCAGTGTGATTAATCAATTGCATTTTGTGGTGCAATTTGGTTTAAAAATTTTGGAAACCGCAACTTAACAACAAATTGCAGTTTAATCAAAATATTAAACCACACAATATCGCGAAAAACGTGGTTTGATTTGCAATTTGAATCGTACACTAAATAGCCCATAACCCTAATGTAAAAAAAAATTAAAATTAGTGTTCGTGATTTTTTTTAAAAGGGGAAATAAGAGAATTTTGAGTACCTACCTCTTTACTGATTAATTTTACACAAGTATTGACTAAATTGAACAAATTTTATTACTTTGTTTTTGATGCACTTTTTACATAGATTATTAGATTATCAATTTTTACCAAGTATTGATACATATTCTAATTTAATATCATATCTCTCTCTCTTTTTTTTTTTTTTTTTTTTTTTTAATGAAAGACGTTTGGTACCACATATTAAAATGTCATCTCTTTTATACTCCCTCTGTCTCATAATACATGACACAATCAATATTGCACATATGTCAATGCACTAATTTGACTTTAATTTTGTATAATTAAATATTAATGAATTATGAAACCTTATATTAATACCTATTTAACTACATATTTTATGATAAAATATGTTTTTTATTAAGTTAGTAAAAAAATATGGTCAAAGCTAATGCATAAATAATGAAAAAAGTCCGACGTTTCATGTATTATGGGACGGAGGGAGTATGATATAAGATGCTTATTTACCTGATGTGTAAAAAAAAAAAAATTCTTATTCACCTAATTTACACTCACTAAGAATTTTAGAGATCACTTTATCGTTGATCTTATTCTTTACATAATAGTCCGTACTCCGTAACATTTTTATATTAGAGAAAAGAAAGAAAAAGAAAGTCATTTTCAACTCAAAGACACAAATAAATAGCTTTTACCGAGTGCACTAAAGGAAAAATTCCTAATTACCCCGTAAAGTACAGTACTCCGTAACAAAGACGCTAAAATAATTCCTAAATTTTAGTTGCTACTGTAAACCCGAACCTCTCCCAACCAACCATTCATCCATATTTAGATAGACATAAACAAAACTAACAAACACCCAGAAAAAACGATGAAGTTATCCGTGAAATTCCGAGAAGAAACCCGGCATCAAAACCCACTTTTACGGGCAAAAATCCCCGTCACAATTCTTGGTTTCCCTTTCCTCACCGGAATCGTCGCCGGAGATTCTTCCGACCTCTCTTTCTCTCTCCGCTCCAATTTCACTTCCGGCCCTTCTCTTTCTCTCTCTTACCACCCCACTCTCTCTCCTCCCTCTCATTACCCTTTCTCTCTCTCTCTTAAATCTGGTATTGGCCTCTTTGGTTCTCCTCATGATTCTCCTCTCACTTTTACCGCCAATTTTAACCCTAATTCCTTAGCCCCCACTTTCTCTCTCTTCATTAAACCCCAATTGGGGAATTTCTCTCTCTTCAAATCTGTTAATTCCGATGATTTTAGTACTAATCAGCTTGGTGGGGGTCCACCAAATGGGGAATTATCAACTGGGTCGGTGTCGGATTTTGAGGTTAGGGATGGGTCGAGTGATGGGTCGGGTTTGAGGGGTAAGCCGTTGGTATGGGGTGATTTGAAGAAGAATTCGTCGATTTTGTCTGGGATTTTGGTTGCAGCGAGGACTTCTATGCCATTGACGAAGAGGGCAATGGTTAATTTTAGGTGGGGTGTGAGTTTTCCTTCTGCTGAGTGTGGTGGTGGCGTTTCGGAGGTGAAACCGCAATTTCCGGTGTTGTTGATGAATAAGATTTCGGTTGAGAGGGTTGATGAGGTGAAGAGGGATAAGGAGGATGAGAGGAAGAGGGTTGATGAGGGGAAATTGGGTGATTTTGAGCTTTTGAAGGGGATGTGTAGTTGGATGGGGAGAGAAGTGGAGGATTTGAAGAGGGAGAATAGGGAGATGAAGCAGGCATTGGAGGGTATGAGGGGAAAGGTTCCGGTTTCGAGGAGTCGAGGGGATGGGAGAGAGGGGGATGTTGTGGGGAAGAGGATGATGCCATTGCCTATTATTGAGAGTTCTAGTGAGTTTGATAAATGGAGGAGCAAAAAAGGTGGTGGTAATGGAAATGGGAATGGTGGAAATGAAGAGAATGGGCATAGAGAATCGAAGAAATCGACGAGTAGAATGAGTGAAGTGGAAAATGAATTGCAAAAGGCCATCAAAGCTGCTTCGGCTTAATTAAGGTTTTGGAGCATATATTTCTTCCTTCAATTTGTAAGTTGTAGTTGTTGTTTGTGTATATATATGAATTGAGTTTTGCCTACTTTAGGTTTGTTTTTCTATAGTTTATATGGTATTGTCGCTTACAAGGTTGGCATTTTGACGTTGTAGTAAAAAAAAAAAAGATTTCTGGTTATCTTGTTCATTTTGTCTATTGATGCAATTTAGATTGGCTTGTTTACTTTACATGAGAGCTGAAGGACTTTAAGACCTAATGGCATGTTTTTTTCAAAGTGAGTCAGTTAGGAATCTTAGGATCCACACAGCTAATCCCAACATGAAGAAAGAATGTTAGATGATACTTCGTATAACCCTACATACGTGATACATCACCCTACATACGTGATACATCTTTAGACAAAGCGAACTGAAAGGAATTCAAAGCAGCACTCCCTAGTTCCTACCATGTCTTTATTAAGGCTTAAGCCAACCCTCAATACTATTCTGTGTTTGCTAACTGCATACAAAGTATTATTCTGGTGGTTATGTAGTCAGAGTTTATTAGCTGGTATATGTTACAGCCCAGATGTTTCTATTATTGAATAAATGAGAGACATATACAATGTTTTTCTGCAGAAATACAATGACATAATATAATAAATGTACATGTAGGCAGGAGTGTTTATGAGTATTCTTGGAGATTTTCCAGGCTGAACACTAAAATTTTAAATTTTATTTAAGTTGTAGTAGTGCAATGAATACCATTACTCTAATTTCTTGTAGTACTATTCATATACCTAGAAGCCTGGAACTAAGCCAAAGGGAAAAGTACATATGCAATTTTAGCATCAATGATGTTCAAATATATACAATATCAATAAAAAATGCTCTCTCTAACACTATCGAGTGGAATATGCTGAATCTTTGACCAGTCCCTGCCATTTGGCCCTCGGCATCTTTCTGTTAATCCCGGACATTCTATAATTCAGAGCTGAGTTAAGGTAGTAAGCTTGCGGAAGCTTTCTGGTAGAGATGTCAATTTTGGGCAATCAAACAACTCCATATGCTCTAGAGATTGGAAACAACTTATCCATTCTGGTAGTTCTTTCAAATCTTTAATAAACCTTACTTCTAAAGAATGGAGGTTTGCCAAATTTTGAAGCCCTCTAGGAAATGCTGACAGTTTAGGGATTTCTCGCAATTGCAAATAACGAAGACTTTTAAGGGCTTTCCATGGCATATCATCTTCATCGCCCGGTGCTTCATTTGGTGATAGATCAAGCTCTTCACAATTCAACAGGTCCAACTTCTCGAATGCTGTCAGATGCTCTAGGCCTTTTGGGAGTGATTCTAAATTATGGCAATCACAAAATGCCAAAGAACGTAGACTAGATAGACTTGTGAAGACTTCTTTTAGCTTAAAAGTGCTCACCAGGTTAGTGTCTTGGACCTCTAGCAAGGAAAGCCTAGGCAGACATTCTTTTGGCAGGGATATAAGGTCTTCAATGTTATCAAGGCTCAACTTTTTTAACTTTGAACTACATTCAGGAGATGAGGTTACCATCTTTAAGACTGAAAGGGTCTTGTTGGTGTCTACAAGTGTCAATTCCTCCACATTGGGACTAAGTGGCATGGACATCAGGTTTGGGCAACCTTCTATCCACAATTTTGATAGATTAGAAAATGACATTAATGACAAATCTTGCCCCAATTTGTTTGTTGCTTCTTTTGAGTCATTATTAACAGTTTCTCCAACTTTCCACCATCCCTTCAAATTAGGCATACACATCAGCCTAAGTTCTTGAAGAGATGGGAAGAACAATGATTCCATGGTTGGTAGTGATGATGACGAGGAAAGGTCACATACATCACCCTCCATGTATTCCACACTTGATAGATATTCAAGAGTAAGACGCTTCAAGAAAGGTAGTTGCCTGAAGCTAGGGATTTGTTCGCATCTTTCACACTGATTAAGTTTAATTTCAACCAAATTTGGAAGACTACCGCGCAAATCTTCAATCATAACCCAACTTGGTAACTTCTGACCTCTAAAACCATCAATCCTCAGCTTCCTTAAATTAGGATGTGGTCTGAGGCTTTCCATAACAGCTTTGTCATGGTCACTAACATCTTCATATAGCCCAGTCAGATCAATGTGCAAGTCACTCAACCTCTGCTTACTACTCAAGTTTGCCCCTGTTCTGTCTGAGACTAGATCTTTAGAATCTTCATGAATTTCAATGTGCAAGGCTCCTCTGAGGTTATCAAGGTTCTTTAGGTCACTTAATTTTGCAGGGGGCTTAGATCTGAATTTTGGAGAACATTTATGTCCAACTATAAATCGTGGTAGTTTGTGAAGGGAAGTTAGCTCTTCTAATCCTGAAGGCATGTGAGTTAGGCTGTGACATTCATCAACATCTAGGCTTCTAAGATTGGCAAGTTTTTTAATATTTGCTGGTAATGCTCTAAGCTTCAAACACAAATACAGAATTAGTCTGTAGGTTGTGAAGTTCTGTGACAGAATCAGGAAGAGCTTTAATAGGTGTCACAGATAAGTTGAGGTACCTTAGGTGCACCAGTTGGCCTATTGAACTGGGCAGACATGTGACTCCAAGGTGATGTAGGTCCAACACTCGCAAGCATCTAAAACTTGATATCAGCTCTTGACAAGTTGATTTGCGAAAGGTCGACCCATCTCCAAGTTGTTTTGGTAAAAGGATTGTTCGCAAAAGCTTCAAGTTTTGCATCCGACTGGGTATTTTCCACACGGAAGCCAAACGATAAGCGAAAGACAAGTGATGGATTCTCTTGTTATAATCACTTTCTCCGACCTTTATGAACTTGCATTTGTTTCCAGCCACTTGCTGAGCTAGTTCATGCATCAAGTCATGCATTTTACAGCTCGTGATTTCCCCCCATTCATTTCTTGATGTTTCTTGAAAGAAGCACCGTTGCAATAACACAAGAAAATATTCTTCAGCAAGTCCTTCCAAACTTTGGCTTTCATTGGTCGGAATAATGAAGCCTTCAGCCATCCAAAGATCAATCAGAGTTTCCTTCTTAAACCTGCAGTCCTTTGGAAACAATGCGCAATAAGCAAAACAATTCTTCAACGGGGACCATAAGTGGTGGTAGCTAAGTTTGAGAATGCTCATAATGCTAATGCTATTCTGGTTCTCAGAAATATTGGCAAGACGTGTATCCTTGATTGACAACCACTTGCTTTCATCCTTTCCATTAAGGAGACTCCCTAAAGCTCTTATAGCCAAAGGGACATTGACACATTTCCTTACAATTTCTTTCCCAACCCTCGCTAGATTTAGCTTCTTTTGAACTTCTCCAGGAGCAAATGCCAGCAATTCAAATAAATCCCAGGCTTTCTCGTCAGACAACCCTTGTAAGTGATAAGGAGGAAGAGTACACATTGTTGTTGCCACCTCCATTGATCGAGTAGTTACCAGGATTCTACTTCCTCGTCATCCAGTATTTAAGAGAGTCCTCAGCTTGATCCATTCCTCACGGTCTTCATTCCAGACATCATCTAAAACAAGGAAGTATTTCTTATCACTTACTTCCTTCCGCCATTGACCCTGTAATTGCTCCATCTCTAATTTCTGGTTTCTGCATTAGTTGCTGACATGAGAAGCTTTTCTGTAATACCCTTGATGTCAAAATTGTCAGATACACAAACCCACAATCTCAACTCAAAATACTCCTTAATCTGAGGGTCGTTATATATGAGTTGAGCTAAAGTGGTCTTCCCCTGTCCTCCAATCCCGACAATTGAGATAACAGGGAGTACCTCTTCCTCATGCACTTGATCATCAACAGTGGAACAGGAGGCGAACAACATGTCTAAGATGCTTTTCTTTTCATCATCTCTACCAATAACATCTTTTGCATCTATATATGAAAAAGTCTGAACCCTCTTCCTAGCCATTACTCTTCCTTCTTCATGAGAGCGATGTACAAAGTTAAAACTGTGTACCATCTTTGATTATGTTATCTAGCTCTTGCCTTACTGTTTTAATCTTTCGAGAAATTTTGAAGGCATATGCAGTCTGATTGGAGCAGGAGAAGAACTTTTGTACCTTTTTAGATATTGTGTTTCTGCCTGTGAGCTGTTGTCGTGATGCAACAGTAGCGACCTCATCGAACAAGTCGTCAGCAGCATAGACAGCAGTAGTAAGCCTTTCAAGCCAGCCGTGGACAGTGTGGCTATTAGCTTGCCTCTCCTCTGCATCCAACAACACATCTTTGATAGTGTAGATGGTGTTTTCGAGCTGCTCGAGCCGAGCCTTGAAGCCCCAAGCTGAGGCGATCTCATCCAAAGCCCTTGATCCTAGATTCTTCAGGACTTCCTCTGCAATGCCGAACAGAACTGCTTCAGCCACATCTCTCTCTCTCAAATATTCTTTTTTGTTCAAAATTTGGAGTTCTATGAGTTATTGTAGTGCAAGGTTGTGCTGGTTGACTAACCCCTACTTAAATTACAATAATCCTATTGCTCACTTGTATGGGATTTAATTAATGAAGTATTACACTATTTTGGATGATAATCTAGTACAGCACACTGCACATGGCTGTTATATATATATATATATATTATTTTTTTTATTTTCCTGTTTACCAGTCAATATTCAACATTCCAATAAGCACGCCGTCAGCATGCACTTTAGTTTTGACTATACATGGTCACATCACTATTAATACGCTGTAATCATAGGTCCGTCTTTTTCATCTTCAATACTATGCCCATTTTCAAGAGACTCAAGACCTTTGATATACACGCATACCTATATGAAATATCCTTGAGTGTATATAGAAATTTTCAGGAGTACAATTATGCTGGTGAGTATGGCTTTATATACGGCAATATGACACAAAGCACAATCAACTTATGTTTTCGCCACCGGGCGGTTTTATGCCTTGCTAATATTCCTGATTTTCTAAGATAGGACATGGCATGGGGCAATGACATTTCTGCCAATCCTATCTAGGAATCTAGGATAGGTATGGTAAACTATTAAGTTTATGAATTGCTCCCTTTGTTTCTTTTATTTGTCTTTTTCATAATGGACCCACTAATTAGTCAAATGGTGCAAAAATTAATGAAAGGATAGAGGGAGTAGTACTTACTTATCCAACTTGTCCCTCACAATTCACATATAAGTAAGCAAAACTAATACCGATTTACTATCATAAGATCGGTATTACAAAACTGGTATTGTAGTGATAAGACGGTTTATGTTCTCTAAAAATTACAAGTTTGCAAAACATTGAAAAATCGTTCTAAAAAAAATAAAAAATGACATTGTGCAAAGAATGAATCATCAAATAAATTCATTGATCTAGAAATACCCTCAATCACACACAGCCTTTTAGAGGAATGAAGCACATAAAGTCGGTTTTCATTCAGCAGATGATAACGGAATATACAGGCAGAAATTTTCAAGGAATTAAATCTAACACACAATCAACTTCTCCAAAATATAAATATTCATATAATTAATCTAAAAACACTTAACATACACATGCTTATTACATTTGAGATTAACAAATACATATATATATATATATATATATATATATATATATATATATATATATATATATATATATATATATATATAAAGAAAAGATGCTTGCTGTAAGCTTGATAACATCAATGATGGTGGTCATACATACATACATCGTCCATCCCGAATGTCCTTTAATACAGTAACAACTAACAAGAGGGATATGTTGAATCTTGGGACAATAATTTCGGAAAAGGGTCCAGTCTCTTAGATGGTCTTATTTTCTGAGGAGTTGTACTACAGTCTACAGACTTGTTTTGCAACATGATAGCTTCATATCTCCTCTTCTAAACTCTGCCTCCCTTGAGCAGAATGGTCTCTGTTGCAAAGCACGTGAGATGCAGGCATGCAGCAAGGCGCGGAGGTCCATGGAGTGTAGTTTATAAATTACACTACTCTTCTCTTTTTCTTTTTGTCTTTTTTTTTTTATTTTTTTTTATACAATCACTTTTGCCATCAATTATTATAAATTAAAGGAAGAAAAATGATTTTATTAATACGGAGTAAAAGATAGTCAAACCACACTTACAAACAACTTATAAGAAATCTAAAATTCCAATATAAGTGCATAACACTTAAGAATTAATTACATCGCAGATATGATCAACAATTGCTTTTATAAAAATTAATTTAGAAAAGTAGACATTGTGGCTAATCCAACAATATATTACATTATTATTTCTTCCGTTCTTTTTAAGTTGACACGTTTTTTTTTATCACGTTTGCTAACGAACAACTTTAACGATTTAATATCTCTAAAGTAGTATTTAGAGTGACATTTTAATAGGTACTCAGACTACTCAAAGTTTAGGACAAACAATCATAGCATTAATTGTAGTCTTTTGAGAAACCTCACGGTTATTCTAGTACACTTAAAATTAACAAAGTGGTTGAAAAAGAGCGAATATTCAGTTGGTGTCTCAATTACCATCAATCGTTTTTCATTAACTTTTACATGTTTATTAAGTTAAATAACCATGCTCAACTGCTACAAGAACCATTAACATTTACATGCTTATCAGTTACTTGTATTACAATAGAACTAAATGATGCATACTGTAAATTTGATATCTTTCATAGCCTCGTCATCCCCCATAATCCTTTAAAACTTGAACCAGAGGAATATGCTGAATCTTGGGCCATTCGCTACCCTTCGGACCTTGGCATCCACCTGTCAATCCTGGACATTTAATGATCTTGAGTTGATTTAGGGCAGTGAGATTGCAGAAGGCTTCTGGCAGAGATGTCAGCTTAGGACAATAACGCAAATACATGTATGCAAGAGATGAGAAACAGCTGATCCATTCTGGCAGTTCCATAAGCTCATCATTGTTAGTTATTTCAAGAGAACGGAGGTTTGTCAAGTGTTGAAGGCCACTAGGAAGGACCAACAGCTTAGGGATCATATGAAATTGTAAAGAACGAAGACTTTTGAAGTATTTCCATGGTATATGTTCATCTGCTGATAGATGAAGCTGTTCACAATTCCAAAGCACCAACCCCTCTATCGCTGTCAAATGTTCTAGGCCTTGAGCGAAAAATCTCAAGCTATGGCAATGAGTGAAACTCAAAGAACGGAGAGAAGAAGACATACTCATGAAGACTTGCTTTCCTATTTCCTCAGTGTTCACCAGCTTCTTATCCCAGACATCTAGTGAAGAAAGTTGGTGCAGACATTCTCTTGGGAGAGAAATGAGGTCTTCCAAGTTACTGACAGTAAACCTTTTCAACTTTGAACCAGACGCTAATTTTGAGGTTGATGGTGAAGCTGTTGCCATCTTTATCACTGAGATGGTCTCGTTGGTGTCCACTAGTGTTAATTCCTCCACATTAGGACATTCTGGCAGAGATATCAGCTTTGGACATTCATCCAACCTCAATTTTGTTAGATTGGAAAATGACATGGATTGAAGGCGTTGTATGAGTAATCGATCATATGATGATTCTATTGTACTAATATCAGCATTTTCTCCTACTTTCCACCATCCTTTTAAATTATCCATATAGATCAGCGTAAGTTCTTGAAGAGATGGGAAGAATAGCGTACTACTCATTATTGGTGATTTGGAGGACAAGGAAAGAATGGGTTCACTGTTTTCCATGTATTCCACACTTTGCAAAGATACAAGGGTGAGGCGCTTCAAGAAAGGGAGTTGACTGAAACAAGGCACTTGCTGACATCTTCCACAACGTAGAAGTGTAACATGAACAAGATTTGGAAGAGTACTGCACAAATTACCCATCATTGCCCAACTTGGGAACTTTTGACCTCTGTACCAATAAATCTCCAGCTCCCTTAAATTTGGATGTGGTTTCAGCCCTTACAAGATAGGTTCATCGTGATTACTACCACTAACATCTTCATATAACCACTTATCGAAATCTATATGCAACTTAGTCAGCCCATGTTTTCCGTCTAAGTTTGCATCTGTTGCTTCTGACAAAGTATTTTTTAACACTCCGAAAATTTGAATGTGCAAGACTCCTTTCAGGTTATTAAGATTATTTAAATCACTTAACTTAGCAGTGTTGGGCTTGTATTCAATTTTAGGACTATTTTTATAAACGACTGGAAATCGAGGTAGTTTATTGAGCGAAGTCAATTTTCCTAGTCCTGAAGGCACACGGTACAGAAATTGACATTCATGAACATCAAGGTTCCTAAGATTCTTAAGTAATCCCATATCTATAGGCAATGTTCGAAGACTATAACAGTGAAATAGATTAAGTGTTTGCAAATTTTGGAGCATTGTGATTGAATCAGGGAGTTCTCTAATAGATGTACGGGAAAGGTTAAGGCATCTTAAGTGAATAAGCTTACCTATTGAGCTGGGCAAATTCCTGATTCCAAGGTTGTGTAGATCCAACACCCTCAAGCATCCAAAGCCAGATATCAACTCTTGACAAATCGATTTGCTGAAGGCCGATCCATCTTTAAATTGCTCTGGCAAAAGAAATGTTCGTAGATGCTTCAGTTTCAGCATCCAACTTGGTATCTTCCATTCTGAAGTCAAACGATAAGCTAAGGATAAGTGATAGATTGCCTTGTTTGAATTGCTTTCTCCTAACATTGCAACCTTGCAGTTGACTCCTGCTACTTCTTGAGCAAGATCATGCATAAAGTCGTGCATTTTGCAGCTCGAAATGTTCCCCCATTCATCTCTTTTTATATCCTGGAAGAAGCACCTTTGCAACAGAATAAGAAAATATTCCTCAGCAAGTTCTTCTAGACTCTGGTCTTCATTATTTCTAGAAATAATAAAGCCCTCGGCCAGCCAAAGATTCATCAGTGCTTCCTTATTGAATTCATGGTCTTTCGGAAACAAAGCGCAGTAAGCAAAACAGTTCTTCAACGGTGACTGTAGTTGCTGGTAGCTCAACTTGAGAATGTCCATAATGCCATTTTGGCTGTCAAGTATATTGGCTAGACTTCTATCCTTGATCGACAACCACTTGCTCTCGTTCTTGCCGTAAAGAAGACTGCCTACAGCTCTAATGGCCAAAGGAACATTTGCACACTTCTGAACAATATCTTTCCCAACCTCAATAAGACGCAGCTTCTGTTCAGCTTGTCCAGGTTCAAATGCCATCTTCTGAAATAATTCCCATGCCTTCTCTTCTAAAAGGCCTTGTAAATCATAGGCAGGAACGGTGCCCATAATTTTTGCCACCTCCCTTGATCGAGTAGTTACAATTATCTTACTCCCTTTTCTTCCAATCTTCAACAGAGCCCTCAGCTTCAACCATTCCTCACGACTTTCATTCCAAATATCATCCAGAACAAGCAAGTATCTCTTATCACCTACTTTATTTCTCAGTAGCCCTTGTAACTGATCCATCTCTAAATTCGGAGTTTCTTCATTAGTTGCTGACTTGAGGATTTTTTCTGTAATAATCTTTATATCAAAGACGTCGGATACGCACACCCATAACCTCAACTCGAATTGCTTGTCAACTTGAGGATCATTATATATGAGTTGAGCCAAAGTTGTCTTGCCCTGACCTCCAATCCCAACAATTGGGATAACTTGAAGTACCTCATTCTCAGGTTCACCAGAGGCAAAGAGTATATCCAAGATAGCTTTCTTATCGTCATCTCTACCAATAACTTCCTCTGAATCTACAAATGAATAAGTTTGATCTCTCTTCATACTAGTATGTATCATACCCCCTTCTTCACGAGGGCGGTGTACGAAGGCAAAATCAGTACCCTCTTTGACTATATCATCTAGCTCTTGCCTAACTTTTTTAATCTTCTTAGAGACATTCAATGCGAACAGGATCTGGTTGGAGCTAGAGAAGAAAGTGTGCACCTCTTTGGTCAACTTGCTTGCATTAAGGATCTGTTTTTGGGATGCAACTGTAGCAACCTCATCGAACAAGTCATCAGCAGCATAAACAACAGTGGCAAGCCTGTTAAGCCAACTGCGAATGACTCTGCTATCAGTTTGCCTTTCCTCAGCATCGAGGAGCACGTCTTTGATGGTGTTGATTGTGCTCTTGAGCTTCTCAAGCCGATGCTTGAATCCCCATGCTGAGACAATCTCATCAATTGCCCTTGTCCCCAGATTCTTTATGATTTCCTCTGCAATGCCAAACAAAATTCCCTCAGCCATTCTCTCTTTTTTGGATCAAACTTCTCCTCTAGCCAAATATATCAAGGTATGTGAGTGACTAGCTAAAGTATAAGGTGAGGAAGTGAAGAGCGAGTTACTAGTTATCAGATCTGAACTTTGTTATACCACTAAAATTTTCTGGTTGGTCAAATTTCAACAGCTAATACCGCGTTTGAAAGGTAACAAAATATATAAAATTGGCGTACTTAGCACAACAATCCAGACAATTAATACATTATATTAATAACCAGAATGACTATAATTAGTCATGGTCATTATCTATTATTAATCCTCTTTTCCAACTACTCGTAATACACTATGGCCTTGAGAAATCATGCTAGTAGCCAGTGGCGGACCTACACGTGTGCACGCTGGGTCACGTGACTCAGCAGTGCCAAAAAAAAAAATTAAAAAAAAAAAAAAAAGAAAAAACAAAAAAAACAAGAAAGATTGAAAGAACGGCTGAACGACAAAGCCCAAAACGCGTGAAAGAAACAACGGAAACCTCACAACCCTAAATCCCTCTCTCGCAATCTCGCATCCGCCGCTACTTCGCCGGAGCAGGCGAGCAGCCAACCACGCCGGTCACCGGAGCAGCCTACCTTCAGTCTTCACACGTTCATCCGTTCGTCCCCTTCGTCGTTCAAACTTCAAACAACAGTTTATTGGTGGAATCGTCAATCGTGGTTCGTCGTTCACTCGTAACTCGTTCATCCCTAAGGCCCGACTCGGCCGACTGCCCGACTGGACGGCGCCCTAACACCACCGAGCACGGCGAGCAGCCGTCTGTCTACCACAGACCACCGAATCACCGATTGAAGGATTTGAACTTTGAAGGAGTGAAGCAGTCAAGCAGCAAGGTATTTACTAATTTACTGATTTACACCTTTTAATTTGTTTTGTTAATTATAAATTTGTATAATTTTAGTCATTTGATTGATTAAATTGAACTGAATTGTTGATTTGTTGTTCATTTTTGTGTTAAATACTTAATTAATTATAATTTCAGATTTTTAGTCATTTATAAATTATAATTTCATAGTCTTGATCTCTTGAAAATTTGAAATTGACAAAATGACAGGTTGTTGGCCTTGTTTCTTGTTATAAATCTTGTAATGTTGTTCTGTTCATTGTGGATTTGTGGATTTGTGGAATTGTGGTATGGATTTGTGGTGTTGAAATGCAGAAATGCAGAATTGTTGATTAGGTGGTCATTTGATTCAGATTTGATTGATATTTGAATGTATTATGTGTATTCATATGAACTGAAATTGTGTAATGTGTATATATGATTGATTTTTTTTTTTTGTAATTGCTTATTTGCTTAAATGATTTTCACAATGAAGCGGAAACTTACTCCAAATAAAATGCAGAATATCGCTAGTTTCTTTGCTAAATGTAATCCTCATCCTCCTAGTCAACAAAATTCTTCTCCAAATGAACATTATTGATCGATATCAAAATATGAAAACTCGTTGTGAACAATTGTAATAGTTTATTGTACTATGTGATTGTAATATATTATTTGTAGTACTTTTAGTTTGTAAGATGAATTATTTAGGTACTATTTGGTTGTAGTATGGATTATTTTTGTTTGATTGAATGATTGAAATGAAGGTGGTTGTCATTTATATATTTTTGTTAGTATTTTTGGATTCGATTTTTTTTTTCTTTTACAGGTGATCAATTGTTCAGGGTGACTCACAAGGACGGAAATCCTAGATCCGCCACTGCTAGTAGCACAAATAATTAGTACCGCTCCTACAGCTGGCTTGGACCAGCACATGGCATAAAATTATATCCGTACATGGACTTTGTTTATAGAATATCATCACGAGCCTAGTACCTCAAGAATTCTCCTTTTTCAAGAATTGACCAAAAACCTGGTTTAATAACTAGGTCTATTGAATACATGGGCTGAAAGACCTTAAGTTTTAAGATAAACTACGAGGAAGACTCCTACCCTATCACAAGAATGGGGGCTACGAGGAATCGAACCATCCCTCCATCTCCTCATTCCTCGAAAGACCTTAAGTCTTGAGTAGCATCAAAGTGTGTGAATTAGCATCCACACGTGCTAATCACACCATGGAGAAAGAGTGATATAAAAGCACAAACCTACACCTTTAGACAGAGCAAACTGTAAGGAATTCAAAGCAACACTTCCTCCCATATGTTGTCCTTGTTAAAACTCTAGACAACCTTCAATATTATTATTCCGGTGTATGTTACGTTACAACTAAGTCGTTTCTGTTATTAGATAGAGTAAATTAGAGAACCATAATACTCCGTAGTATAATACAATGTTTATCTGAAGAAATAAATCGACATTATATATCATTGAGATTCATGAAGCTGCAAGATTTACATCGTATTTATCCCAATGTATACTTGATTTTCAATGGAATTATGGGAGTATTACGGCAATTCCTAAATAAATACGAAAAAAAAAACAACCAAAATTAAATTGGAAAGCACCAAAAATCCCCCAAAAATTTCCCAATCTCACATTAATAAAGATAATAAATTTATAAATAATCTTAATTGAAAAATAATAAAAATCTTCCAAAAAAGAGAGAAGAAGACACTCAAATATACACAGCAATTAAGCAAAATAATTAGGTCAGCATACCTTGTGAAGGACTGAAGGGTGTGTTTTCAGCAATATTTGTGTAGTGCTCTATATAAAATTCATAAATTCATGTTTTTTTTTTATTATTTTTTTTTTTTTAGAAAGGTCTAATATTACCAATTTCATATAGCAAAGGAAGGCATTAGTTTCTTGCTTTCTTCATAAATATTTAATTCTAAGGGACATATATGAAGAGTTTTAGGTACCCTAAGCGGAATTTCATGAATCTCATTCACACGCACCTAAACAGGATTTCATGCATATACAAATAAAGGATCACCTAATAGTTTAAAATTAACCTTTGATGCGTGAATTCCCAAGCTTTTTTCAACCTTCTTGCACGGATTCGAGCCTCAATTGTTGCTCCTCTATTATTGGTCCACAAGCGTAGATCGAACCTCCACCAATGCTAGTTGGACGGGAGAGATTAATTTCCACTTATATGGAGAGCTTCTAACCGGTTTTAGAGAGAGGAAGAGAAAAATATTACGTTGTTTCCTTTGTGAAAGATGAACGTAGAAAGGTCTAATATTGGTAAGTACCTTTATATTGGTATCAAAATATTGTACCAAGTATTTGTCAAAAAAAAAAAATAATAAAATATTGCAGTGAGTATTTATAATCATTTTTAATTATAAATGATGTAAAATTTATACGGTATATTGTTTTTTTGACGGAGGTATATAGTGACATTTGTAGAAGATTAATTTAAAAAATATTCAACAAGATTTCACGTAATTATAATTTTTCATTAATTTGTTTTAATGAAGTTTTTAATTAATAATGACTTGAGCGTTGGATATGGTTTTTCAAAAACACTCTGAGAAGCTCGCCATATGTTTTCGTGGGTACGTGGTTCGAACTCATATCTCTCAATTTGGACACACTCACTCGATAAGTGACTCCCCCACTTCCTTTATATATTTTTCTTAGCAACAACAGTATAAGATCCAATTTGTTAAAATTAATGACAAAGTAACTAGTGTGGCACTGTGCCATAAGTGTATGTAAATAATTATATATGTTGTACAACATCCTATATGCGAAGTACTTGTATTTGATATTTAACTAGATTTAAAATTTTGGGGTGATTTAGCTTAATTTGATGATCTTCATACCATTGAAAATGATATTTAAAGGTAAAATTTCTCTCTCTCTCTCTCTCTTTTTTTACATGTGCTTAAACAGTTAAACCATCACAAAGTGGAAAAAGAAGTAAGCCTAAAACAAGCTATAGCAGCAAGTTGAAGTGCCTAGTGAACTCTACTTCGATCAACTTTATTGATGCTACACCGGATAAACTCTTTCCCAGATCTTTGTTGCAGGGTGCCAGGGTCCATAAGAGCTGTATATACTTCAAATGCTGGACTTGTAACAAATCTACATAATCACGATTGCAATATAGGATAATCGTAAAGCCCATTGTAAACTGAAAAGACAAGCTTGTGATTCACTATGTAGTGTTGGGATTGAGTGCCCAAAAGATGCCCTTTTCTGTTCATCTTCATTTGCAAGATATAGGAAATGTTCAAGACACCAACCCATACCTAATCTATTAGTAGCCTTTTGCCATGCACCATCAGTTAGAATAAAAACTGTAGGTGCCTTAGTTGTTTAGTTTACCAAGATGACCCTGTTGAAACCTGGAGGACAGGTTGGATCATCTTCTGAAAGATGAAATTGACTAAAAGAGTCCCAATTTGCTGTTGAGGAAAGCAAATCATGTTGTTTTATTGCAATGTTGATAATTGCCTCAATACCTTGTTGCATGACGCTTTCATTTTTGAAAGATCGACTATTTAGTGCTATTTAATTTGACTAAGAGAGTCCCAACTTGCTAATGGGGGTAAAATTTTCATTATACATAAAATCTAAATTTAAAAAGGTATTGTAGTTAATTTTGTAAAAACTTCATCGTATAAAATGTAGACAACTTCATCATTATCTACCATACCAAGATGATTTTTAATATTTTGTAGTTTTTAGGATAACTTGAAATCCATTTTACATTATTTAAGGTCCCCGCTTATAAGTTTACTTCACATTACTCCGTACTCCATAAGAATTTGTTTGTGAATTTGTAATTGTTTTTTTTTTTTTTTTAACAACCAAATTTGTAATTAGTCTAATAGTCTCTGATTAGTGGGTTTCCTCAAATTAACCAAGGATGCCGGTCCATGCCCAAATTAGCCAAGGCTGTCGGTCGAATCTAATCCAGGCCAATTAGTTTCCCACATAGGAGCAGCTGTGTAACGGTGTACGAACTCACCACCAAATTTCACAAATCACTGTCACCAATTTTCAATTCCCACAATTGAACAATTTGTAACAGTCATACATACCCAGTACTCCGTACCATTTACCAATCCTCTAAACTTAACGATCCAAATAAAATTGAATTTCAAGCAGATTTCAGAAACAGCAGACTCCATCAGATTATGTCTTCTGTGATCTTTTCTCTCTTCTCCAATCACTGAGTAAAGGCCATGTCTTTCTTCAATGGCGTCGAGCAGAGGAAAGACCCTATTCAATTGATTCAATTTGAAGAAACGTTTCAGAGATTGGAAGAGCTCATTCAAAAGACCGATTCTGGGAATACCCAAATGGATAGTTTGATTAATCTGGAATACCCAGATGAGGAAATTGATCAAAACTGTGAAATTATTGATGGGATTTTGATGAAATTCGCAGAAAATGAGAATTTGGAAAGTAATTCTGTTGATGGTCCTATTATATCTCAAATATTTGCAGGTTCGATTTCAAAGAAACTTTTTTATTTTTATTTTTTCCATTATCATGTATTGTTATATTTATTGATGTTCATAAATTATGCTGCAATTTTATTTGTTATCTGGTGTTTGGGTCCAATTTAGTCAAAGTTGGGCCTGAGCACTAAATGATCCAATTAAAAGCCCAAGGTCAAGGTTCAACTCTCCAATTGCTCAAAAGTCAAAAGTCAGCCCACAAAGTAAGCCAATTGGGCTAAAGCCCAACCTCTCCAAGTATGATGAGGTATAAAAGCCATCATATTAACACATTCAAAAGGACATCACATATGATCATTGACATTCCAATTCATATGCTCATTCTTGCATTCAGAAATATTCCACAAAAGCCTCAAGCTACAAACTCTCTTGCATAGTGTCTTCCTTCTACACATTGTACTGACTTTAGCATCGGAGGGGCCTTCCTCGGAAACACCCCCGAGGCTAGTTTACGTGTGTTCACTGTGCAGGAAACCTTCGGCCCAACACAACTTGGATCGAATCCAGTCTTCTCCATTTCAGTGGACCTTCGGCAAGGTCCCATTGTTTTCAACCGAAACAATTTGGCGCCGTCTGTGGGGAAGACTTTCAAAAATCTTTAAGCCAAATTCCTAACCAAGATCATCTTGCAATTATCTTAGCAGCCATGGCTAAGAACCGCAAGAGCAAAAGCCTCCGTCAAGGAGCGGGCGAAAAGCCTAAAACCCCTACACCATCGCCCTCGCCGGACCGGAACTCTCCCAAGGGTGCCGGCTCGGGGGGAGGATCACACAAGGAGGATTCCCTAACTCCTATAATGCATGACTCTCAATATAGGCCGGACCACTCTCGGTCTAGCAGGGGTCAGTCTGATCATAGGACATATTCAGTGTCCCAAAGCCAACCATCGGCTGCGCGGCCTCATTACCACACTCGGCCGGGGACCCCTTTGACGGGGCCCAGTTCGGAAGAGGTGGCAAGAGCGCTGGCAGTACTCATGGAGGCAATGAGGGCACAGAATATGCCACCGCCTCGTGATCGAACTCCTCCGCATACCCGGCATCAGCGGAGGAAGTTAGACCATGACGGTGGGAAGCTTCCTTCCTTCCGGGAACTGGAAGAGTGGGAGGAGGATTCTTGGAAAAATGAAAAACAGAGGAAAAAGAACTCTCAATTATTTAAAGGATCCTCATCCTCAAGACCAGCAGCGCATAAGAGCAGCAGCTCAGCTTCTCGGCCAGAATCTACTCGCCGGGAACCCGAGACTGCTCGCAGAAGCGTCCTTGACCGACTCGGCGGCCAGGAACCGAGCGTGCGTAGTCGCCTCTCGTTCCCTGCAGCCGAGGCCCAGACTTCCCAGCCAGGGACGAAAACCACTCCTACCTCTCTAAGAGGGCGGAGCGCGGTCCCTTCGGCCAGGAACAAGGGCAAGGCCATTATGCTTCCCGCTAGTTCACCATTCGAGCAATGGATACTGGAAGAGCGCGTACCCACGGTTAAAATACCGTCGCATATCAAATATGACGGGACCACGGATCCGAAGGACCACGTGGCCTCGTATGAGACTCATATGCATCTTTGCCCCAGATCCGAGGCGACTTGGTGCAAATATTTCCCAACCACTCTCAAGGGGGTCGCGCAAGCGTGGATCTCCAAGGGAGTAAGGCAAGGCTCCATAACAGGTTGGGATGATCTGTCCTCCAAGTTCAGGAGCAAGTTTTCCACGGCAAACCGCCGAGAGAAGACTACCGCAGAGCTCATGGGTCTGCAACAGGGGGAAACTGAAAGCCTCCGAGACTACCTGACCCGTTTCAGTAACGAGTCATCAAGCGTCTCCCAGCTGGACCAGGGGCTAGCTGTTTTTGCAATGCAGAATGGCCTTCAGCCAGGAAAATTCCTAGACTTTATGGTCATGCATACCCCGCAGACCTTGGAGAAAGCTCTTAGTGCTTCGGATAAGTTCATCCGAGCCGAAGAATGGAATAAAGCAAAAACCCAACCTCAATCCGGGGGAGGGAAACAGAGGCAAATACCCTTGTCTGAAGGCCAAGGCCATAAGGCAAAGGGAAAATCAAAGGCCTCGGAGCCATCTTCGGCCAGCGACCTAAAGAAGGACAGGTTTGCCTCATACACAGGCAGATATGAGTCCTACACTCCGCTCTCTCTTCCACGCGCCAAAATTTACAGTGTGACGAAGGAGGAGCAGAGTTACCGAAAGCCGAGACCACTCCCAGAGTGGTATCAGCGAAAAAAATAAAAATCAGTGGTGTGAGTTCCACGATTCTTCGGGCCACAACACTGAGGAGTGTATCCAGCTGATGGACCAGATAGAAGACATGGTCCGGAAGGGATACTTGAAAAAATACATCGCGGATCACCGCGAGAAAAAAGAATCCGAAAGGTTAGCAAAGGACCCTCGGCAGGACCTTGATTTCCCTCGGAAAAACAGTAAAAAACCGGAGGGGAAATTCCCTCCGATCAATGTTATCTCGGGAGGAATATACTCTCGGAGGGAGCACAAGCGTCACCTTAGAGCTTTGACTCACCAGGTGAACAACGCTGACATTCAATCTCCCCAGTCGCCGGTGCCGAACATGACGTTCACAGCCGCCGACTGCCGGGGGATTACGTTTCCTCACGAGGATCCGTTGGTGATCATCGCCACGGTGGCCAACCACGACGTCAGTAAGGTCCTTGTTGACGGTGGCAGCGGAGCAAACATTCTGTTCCGAAAGGCCTACAACCAAATTAAGCTGAAGCCCAAGCACCTTACGCCGGTACCCTATCCGGTATCCGGGTTCAATGGGGCTTCAACTTATCCAGATGGGAAGGTGACACTTCCTGTCACCATCGGTTGCGATGAGGCAGCCCGGAACGTCATGATTGAGTTTTTGGTCATCGACGCTCCTTCAGTGTACAACGTGATTTTGGGGAGACCCATAATTCACGAGATCCAAGGGGTCGTCTCAACTTATCATCAGCTGATGATTTATGTCTCAGACGCCGGCTTCCCCGAAAGGATACAGGGCAACCAGAAGGACGCCCGAAGGTGCAACTACCTCAAGCCATCCAGTAGTCGCCCAGATAACGACAAGGATGAGGAGGAGAAAGAAAAAGAAAGAGAGCCAAGCACAAAAAAGCCGAAAGGCCTAAGTGCTTCGGCCCAAGGATCAGTGCCCAGAGAAAAAGGTCCCGAAAGGGAAAAGGTTGACTCTTCATCTGAGCCGAAAGACTCAGAGAGCCAGCCGAAGAACACAAAGACTGGGACACCTGCTGACATTGGCAGCAGACCAGATTCTGAAGAGTCCAGTCCATCGGCAATGGACATGGACCAACAGACTGAAACAGCAGAGTTGGCCGAAGGAGATGCTGAGAAATGTGTAACAATCGGGATGGACCTTGATCCTAACACCCGTTGTGAACTTATTCAGCTCCTGCGGGATAACAGAGATGTGTTTGCTTTCTCGGCAGCTGATATGCCCGGGATAAGTTCAGACCTCATCTCCCATAACCGAAGGGTCCATGCAAGGCCTCTCAAAATTGGGGATCTTGTCCTTCGGAATGCTGCTGCAGTTCAGAAAGGCCGAATCCATGGGAAGCTCTCAGCTACATGGGAGGGACCTTATGAAATTTATGATGAGCTTCAGCCAGGGACATACCGACTTCGGCAGTTGGATGGAACTGAGTTGAAGAATCACTGGAATGCTGATGTACTGAAAAAATACCATGTGTAAACCCTTCGGGGCAGAACAATCTTTGTAAGTACATTTTGAACTAATGACAGGCCTTGGAGCCGCCATTTATATAAAATTTACAACTTTTTATCCTTTCAAAATTTTCTTTGTTCTATCTACTCTTTGAGGGTTTTTTATTCAGCCTCGTCTGAAGCCTTCGCCTTCGGGTAACTGGGTTTCAGATTGCTGACAAAACCTGTCTTTTTAAAGAACACCGGTCTTTCAGCTGAAGTCAAACTTCAGTAAGACTTGTTCTCCAAAGACATGAGTCCATGGACAATTCTGGGATATTGCCTTAACTGAGCCTTGTATCCCAGAGAGCCATTATCCGAAACATTGCCTTAAGTTGGCCCTGTGTTTCGGGTATCCATTTTTCAAAGATAGACAGAAAATCAAGGATAACAGCAACAGTTGAAAATTTTTAAATCAGCCTCGTCTGAAACCTTCGCCTTCGGGTAACTGGGTTTCAGATGGCTTACAAAACTCAGTCTTTTTAAAGAACACTGGTCTTTCAGCTGAAGTCAAACTTCAGTAAGACTTGTTCTCCAAAGACATGAGTCCATGGACAATTCTGGGATATTGCCTTAACTGAGCCTTGTATCCCAGAGAGCCATTATCCGAAACATTGCCTTAAGTTGGCCCTGTGTTTCGGGTATCCATTTTTCAAAGATAGACAGAAAATCAAGGATAACAGCCTTTTTAAATCAGCCTCGTCTGAAACCTTCGCCTTCGGGTAACTGGGTTTCAGATGGCTTACAAAACTCAGTCTTTTTAAAGAACACTGGTCTTTCAGCTGAAATCAAACATCAGTAAGACCTGTTCTCCAAAGACATGAGTCCATGGACAATTCTGGGATATTGCCTTAACTGAGCCTTGTATCCCAGAGAGCCATTATCCGAAACATTGCCTTAAGTTGGCCCTGTGTTTCGGATATGCGTCTTCTTTAAGAACGCTGGTCTTTCAGCTGAAGTCAAATTTCAGTAAGACTTGTTCTAAAGAGGTTAGTCCCAGAAAGCTAATATCCCAAGCATTGCCTTCAGTTGGCCCTGTGTTTCGGATATCCAACTTTCAGACAGTCAATCTTCAGTAAGACTTGTATCCCAGAAGCATTGCCTTCAGTTGGCCCTGTGTTTCGGATATCCATTTTGAAGAAGTTCAGAAATTGCTTATTCAACTAAAGTCATACTTCAATTTCTGTGGGGGCAAGAAGCACGCAGTGCAGCTATGTTCGGCAGAGTTGAAGAAAAGAAACAGTAAAGCATTCAAAAATAAAGCAACTGAAGAAAAAAATTGAGCTACAAGTTCAATAATTCAGTATCGGCAGCCGCCCACAAGCGGAAAATAACAGCTGCCGAAATACGTACATAAGCAAAAAAATAAAACTGCTGTACGACAAGGCAAGCTGAAGCAAAAAACAAGGCAAAAAACTCAGAAAGCGGCAAGTCTAAAGTTAAGCACATGATGAACCGCAAGATTCTGAAGACGACTGCCCGAGTTCCTATGCTTCAGCCGGCGGATCAGACTGATCAGCGTTGAGTCCCATGGTGGCCTCAGCCCCAGCAGAAGAAGAGGCGGGCTTTGCACTTTGCCGAGCCTCCCTTTCCCTCTGCTCAGCTTCCAACTCCAGTCTTTCAGCTTCCTCTTCGGCTTCCTCAGCCTTAAGAATTTCAGCTTCAGCTGGAGTTGCAAACTTCATGTGAGGGTCTTCGGGATTCTGGACCCACTCAGCACATTTAGACCAGTCCAGCTTCGGCTCAGCATGAAGGCAGACTCTTCGGCATACTCGGAATCCGTTTCTGAAACCCATCTCATATTCCTCTTGGGTATAGACACGGACTTTGAGTAAAGCCTCAGCATCAGCCAGCTTCTTCTGGGTCTCCTCCAAGTCTTCCTTGGATTTCTTCAGCTCATCAGCGACTTGGGAGGAGGAGCCTTTCAGCTCATTCAGCTCTTGCTGAATTTGGGAAGCCTTTGTCTGAGCCTGGGCCACTTCAACTTTCTGGATCAGCAGTTGATCCTCAGCCTTTTGGAACTTAGCTCTTTGAGCTCCAGCAGCAGCAGCAGCCTCTGAGAGTTGGACGTCTTTGGCCAGGAGCAACTCTTCAGCAGCCATTCGGCTGGCTTCAAGAGCCTCTAGACGCTGCTGTACTTCAGCTTGTGCAGCAGTTCCTTCTTGAATTCGGCTCTCAATAGCAGCCTTGAATTTGGAGACGTCCACTCCCATATGCTCCTGGAGGAATTTTTCCCCTTCCATCAGTGGGGGAAAAACCTCCATCTCCATAGCATCGCAGAAGGTTTTCAGAGCTTCGGCAGCTTTTTTACCGTACTCCTCAACCTCCTGCTGCTTCTCTTCAGCTGCTGCTTGCTTCAGCTTAGCAAGCTTAACTTCCTCTTCAGCCACCTTCCTTTCGTGCACAGCAGCGTCTACCCTATCTTGTAGGGTATCAATCAGCTCTACAGTGAGAGTCTGATTGTGCACGAACTGAAAACAGGAAGACAAAAAAAAATAAGTAATAAGAAAAAAAATAGAGCTGAATTTCGGAGGAAATGAAGGAAAATTACCTGCATCATCAGCAGTTGGTTAGACCTGGCTGGGTCAGGAACTGATCTACTGGATTCGCCCATCCCAGCAGTGGCCTTCAGCGACCAGATCCTTGCCCTGTCTACTTCGGACATGCCAGCAAAATTGCCGAAGTAGGCTGCAGCTCCTTCTCGGTTTTGACCCCATATGAGGTCCCAGATGTGATCTGGGATTGGAATTCGGGGGGCCGAGAAACCCATTTCTCCAGAATGCAGAGTCTGGAAAGAAGGGAAGGACGACGATGGAGCTTGATTAGCCTTGGTTGTCTCAGCATCGTCCTTCTCAGAGGAGTCAAGTACTATGACCTCCTCTTCTTCAGGGGTGAGGACGAAAGCCTCAACCTCTCTTGCGATATCTGCCGTGAAGCCTTCAGCACTTGACATCACGGCATCTTTATTTTCGTGCTCAGCAGCACTCTCCTTGATTTCTTCTTGGACCCCTCCCTTAGGTTCGGGAGTTCTCTGATCCACCTCCATCTCAGGAGGTGGCGGAGGGGTCTTTTGAGGAGATTGGGGTGTTGGCTGGGGAACCCTCGGCGATCCATTGCCTTCCTCAGGTTCCCTTATTGCGACGCCGATGGTCATCGGCCTCTGCTGAAAGTCATGAGGGCCGATGATGGCCATCCTTCGGCGCCTTTTCAGAAGAGGCTGCTCGTCCATATCTGAGTCTGAAGACTCTTGTATTTGATCTTCGGGACGAACAGGAGCTTTGCCTTCTCTGTGTCTGTTACTCTCTTCAGACTGTAACAGACAGGGGGGAAGAAAAGTGAATAAAAAAAAAAAAAAAATGAAAATGAAAATGAAAAGAAAAAAGTTGTCTGAAGCTCACCGAGGTTTTCAGCAAAGCCTCGTCTTCTTCAGCTGCTCTAGCTGCAGCTTCGGCCTCAGCAGCTCTGGAGGACCCTTCTCCTCCTTCGCAAGCCTCAAGTACCCGTGCAACCTCTTCGGCTGTGCGGGCAGCTTCAGCTTCTTCGTTCAGCAGCTGAAACCAAGGGTCTCTCTTCTTCCACCAAGGCTTCTGCCTCTGATACAGAGCAACAGCCTCAATTTGGAAGTGGGAAGAATCCAGATGAACTTCCCTATGCCTCGGCTCAGTGATAGACGGGGCCCGTTCAGTTACAACTCGCTCTCGGTTAACACCAAGACGAGCGTAGTTAATACCAACGTTGGTCTCGTCCCGCTCTGAAAAAAGGGAAAGGGAAAAAGTTTAGCTCAGATATGTTGGCACAGCATAAAAAAGCAAAGCGAGAGAAGAAAAAGAGGTAGTTAAAAGCCTCGGCCCCAGCCGAAGAAGCTTACCATCCTTAAACTTTCGGCTGAGGCCAACAGCTGCTAGCATATTCTCTTGGAAAACGTAATGCGTATCGGGGAGCCAAGTCTCCGGGATATGCTGCATTCGACCACTCCCCCCGGGTTCGGCAGCTTGCCGAAGATATGTTGCTGATCCAGGTTCGGATCCGCCCCGTTATCTGCGGGGGGACCTAGACTTCCCATTTCGGGATCAGGCTCAGCTAAGTACCGGGGAGCGCTGAAGACGCGAGGGTGGCCCGGATCTATGGGTGCCCTAACCCAAATCCATTGACCTCTCCAGTCCTTGTCTGAAGAGTCATTTGGCCACATGGTCAAGTATTGGGGCCGGGACTCAATCCGATACCACCCAGAACCATGGCTTCCGTGCCCACTCTGAATATTTGGCACTAGCCGATGGAGCTTTCTGAAGCAGTGCAGGTTCGGCACGTATTTGAAGAACTTGCAGACCCATAAGTATGTCATCACCCTTCGGATGCTGGTGGGGGTTAGCTGACATAGGGAAATGTTGTAATGGATCAGCAAGTCTCGGACGAAAACGTCCAAAGGGAACCTCAGCCCATACTGAAGCTGTCTCGTGTACACCCCCACATACCCCGGGGGTGGACGATGGATTCTATCGGATGCTGAGGGCATTCGGCACCAATATCGATCAGCTTCAAAAATGCCGTAGTGCAACTCAATTTGCTCAGCAAATCGATATTGATCGGCGTTCTCTACCCACCATGAGTAGGGGCGGTTCTTTATCATGGCCGAAGCGACTTCGGCATTCTCCCACTCTGAAAACCCAGGGAGGATATCCCAAAGGACAGCGGGAATTTCATCGTCCCGTCCAGAAGCACTCGGCTCATCCGTTCTTTGAGGAGGAGCCGAGGAAAGGGGAGTCGCCCTAATCCCTTCAGCAGGGTCAGACTCCGGCCTTTGACCATTCCAGGTCCCAATCCTATTCCTAGGATCGGGAATCGGCCTTGCTCTTCTTGGAGCACGGGCTCTACCTCTAACTCCTCTTGCCATGGATTATTTCGAAGAGAAAAGTCGAAAGAAAAGGGGAAGGAGTTCGAATTCGAAGAAAAATAAACTGAAATCAAAGGAATTTACCTTAATCTGAAGCGAAAGTTGCCGATTTACGAGTTCGTAGTGGCAAGTCTCAGTTTCTAAGCTCAATGCTCGGGGGAATTTGCGAAGTTTTGATGCGGGTTCTTGGTTTCTCTCTCGAAGAATTCTGGGTTTGTGTTGGTGAATAAGTGAGGAGAATGACGCGCCTCTGTTTATATCTCCAGGTACGGGATACGAAGAGTCTGTGCTTTAATTTCTCTTAAGTACCCACTAAGTAACCATTAAACACATGTCTTGTGATTAAACTGCCCATTATCCGTCCAACTTCCGCAAATCATTAACCGTTGTTATCTCATTAATTACGGTTTAAATTCAAATTTTTGGATCAATTAAATCATTTACTTCCCTCCTTTTCTGAGTTAAATCAAACCCGACCCGTCATTCTTCCAAATCGGGTCTGGGGGGCAAGTTGTTTGGGTCCAATTTAGTCAAAGTTGGGCCTGAGCACTAAATGATCCAATTAAAAGCCCAAGGTCAAGGTTCAACTCTCCAATTGCTCAAAAGTCAAAAGTCAGCCCACAAAGTAAGCCAATTGGGCTAAAGCCCAACCTCTCCAAGTATGATGAGGTATAAAAGCCATCATATTAACACATTCAAAAGGACATCACATATGATCATTGACATTCCAATTCATATGCTCATTCTTGCATTCAGAAATATTCCACAAAAGCCTCAAGCTACAAACTCTCTTGCATAGTGTCTTCCTTCTACACATTGTACTGACTTTAGCATCGGAGGGGCCTTCCTCGGAAACACCCCCGAGGCTAGTTTACGTGTGTTCACTGTGCAGGAAACCTTCGGCCCAACACAACTTGGATCGAATCCAGTCTTCTCCATTTCAGTGGACCTTCGGCAAGGTCCCATTGTTTTCAACCGAAACATCTGGATTTACTAGATTATAAGGGTTTTAGGGTAGATGTTAGGGTTTCAAGTTCATGGGTTGACTTTAAAAACATGAAGTTTTGAACAAATGAGAAAGTTTTACCATATTGTTTGATTTGGTTGTTTGAGAACGTTAAGTTAATGTTGAGTTTTGATTTGAATTTTTACAAAGTAGGAAGAGGATGCACAAAGAAGATGAGTTTGATGGAAGTGGCTACTCTTTTCCAAAATTATGATAAAACTGGTGCATCAGTCCTTGATCTTCAAGGAAGGCTTATGGCTGAAGTTGAGTGGCTTCCTTTATCACTTGTGAAATTGTCAAATTTAACTGAAATTGACATATCGAAGAACGAAATTATGGCTCTTCCATCAGATGTTGGTAACCTCAAGGCGTTGAAGAAGTTTGACATCCACTCGAATCAACTAATAAATCTTCCAAGATCAATTGGAGAGCTCACGAATCTGACTGACCTTGATCTTCATGGGAATAGGCTGAAATCTTTGCCAGCTTCCTTTGAGAAGTTAGTAGGCTTAGTCAATCTTGATTTGAGCTCTAATTTCTTCACTCAATTGCCTGATTCAATTGGCAACCTGAGCTCATTGGAGAAGTTGAATCTTGACAAAAATGAACTCGAAGAGCTCCCTAGTGCAATTGGCTCGTGTATGTCTCTGGTGGTGTTGCAAGTAAATTTCAATCAGTTGAATTCTCTTCCTGAGGCGATTGGGAACCTTGCGAATTTGGGGATTTTGACAGTCCGCTATAATAAAGTGAAGATTCTGCCAGAAACAATGTGCAATCTTCAAAGCTTAGAGGAACTCAATTTGAGCTTTAATGAGCTCGAATCAGTCCCTGACTGCTTATGTTCTATGGCGAGCTTGAAGATATTGAACATTGGGAACAACTTTGTTGATCTCACATCCTTGCCAAGCTCAATTGGAAACTTTGTAATGCTAGAGGAGTTGGACATAAGTTATGATCAAATCAGAGTTTTGCCGGATTCTTTCAGGTTCCTATCAAAGCTGAAGGTGTTTCTTGCTGATGGAACACCACTTGAAATTCCCCCAGAGATTATTAAGCTGGGAGCTCAGGTAAAATTGTTATAGTGTATCTTAATTAAGCGATTCTCTAATAATTGTATTTTGCTCATTCTCTAACATGTTCATCCTTTCTGTTAATCAGGCTGTCGTTCAGTACATGGCTGAACTTGTCGATAAAAGAAACAGGTTTCCAAACCGCATACTGAAGGGAAGAAGGGGATTATGGTCCTGCATCTTGTCTTGTTTTTGCCTTGATGAAGTAATACCAGCGCAAAGGAACTAATCAAGAAAACATTAAACCCTGTACAATAGCCGCTTCCATGTTTATCTGTTTTCCCCTTTTCTTCTGTATATTCAAATGTTTGAACACTTAAAACTAATGCTGTAAATATGTTATAGTGAATAATAAGAGTAAACATGGTGATAAATTCTAATGCATTCCTTATGTCTTCACCCTTTCTGCCTGTTGTCTTCATTAATCTTGCTTTTTCTTGAGCATTTATTTGATGTCTGATTATAAGATAATGTTGCAGGGTAGTGTATGCCATGATATGTCCTTTACATAGTGTTACTCTTTAGAAAGACCCATGTTTGCACATACCCAAAAAAAAATGTGTAGAAAAATAAGTGAAAATTAATTGCCAAACAATTCAATTTAAATGTCACATAAAAATTATTTTAAGTGTATAAGATCAGTAGGCAAAAGCTATACGAAATATTTTAAATACTTATCTAACGTCCGGAGGCGTACTGCAATAACAGCTATAAAAATTATTTTAAGGGTATAAGATCAATATTACGTACCGCAAGAACAGCTATGATTCCCATGTCTGGTAATTTTCTCCTAAAACTCTGGTGTATGATACTGTATTGTCAACTATGTGAATTTCATTGCTGTAAGTCGTCTGTAATATTGCTGATTACATGTTGCTGGATTTGGTCAGGGGTCCGCTTCCTGCCAAGACCATTATTGGAAGATCAGTCTTCCGATATTGGCCTCCTAATAGGATAGGGAGTACAGTTCTTCCAGAAGGCTGTGCTATTGAAAAGCTGGAGAGCCCTTCGCCATCATCATAGAGAGCAATTTCTCTTATTATAAGCCTAAATTTTTCTGAATGGTTCAGCAATTCATTTTGCTATCGGACGGTCGGACCATCCACCTTCTTCAGCCTCCAGAGGCATTGGTTTTTGACAGCTTTGTATGGCAGAAGTAGTGGTGTTTGCTGATCACACTTTGGAGGCCCCATTGGTTGCTTCTTGTCTAAATGTGAGCAACGATAGAATCCTAAGATCATCTAGATAATTTGACTCTGCAGTTGATCTCTTGAATTCATTTCAGTAAATCTGTATCAAGTGTCTCATAGAAGCTGTTATCATGTTCATTTTTACACTATTGTTTGATAATGTAAATTTTGAATCAACTAATGATAGAATTTAGTTGAATTATTTCTACTGACTTCAATCTAAGTTAATACTTTATTGAAGGTGGAACACTCTTGTTATGCCGCATTGGTCCTTGTGTCATGACCTTAGCCAGGCACAACTTTCAGGCTTTGTGTTACGTCTCAATTGAAACCTCAGCCCGCGCCAAAAGCTAAGCTTGTGTCCACTCACATTCTTCGTTAAGGGTTCTTGTGAATGCAATTATGGTGTAACCAAAAAAAGACAAGTGGATTTACATCTTTTGAAACAATGGAACAATCAAAATATTCATATAGTTCAAGGCATCATCATTTACATTGAAATTCATTTGATTATAAACTTAGTATGACTTCTCTCAAGTTCATCGCTCTATACAAGCATGTTCTGCAAGTCTGACAATCCGGGTGTTTTGAGAGCTGATGTTCAAAGAATACCTAACATATCGTTGATGCTTTGTCTTCACCAACTTGCCCACCACCTCTCCTTTCGACCTAATGTCAAAGTCCAATATCAATGGAACACCTTCGGCCTTATCGGAGACCACAAAACCAGCACCAGCCCCATACAAAGGAACCTTCCTTCCTTCGACGTTTACATGCACTGTTCTCCAGCTTTGTTTGGGTTGATAGTACGGATCCAACTATACGTACACCACAAATTAAGTCATGTAAGATATATCTTACGTACAAACAATGGCAAAACTGACTCGTATCCAATCTAGATTACCCGGCCTAAAAACAAGAATCGTTAAACGAAGCAAAGCAATCTCACCTGACCGGAAGCAATAGTGAGATCATAATAACGAAGGTTGATAGTAGCCTAACATGGATGCCGAAAAAAGTAGCAGGGTTATGCACTCTCATTCTCAACGAACAATTAATTGTCAATATCTTGCTTGGTACTCCTGTAAGATCTGATCCTTCCCCAAAATAGAAATTATGTACAGTCACATCCTACATTATGTTTTAACAAGTATTAAAAATATATTAAGATAACAACTATCAAAGCAGTAGATTATGTCAAAGAAATATTTCGTATATACATACTTTCTCTGTCTCTTAAAGTTTACCTCATTTAACTTTTTAAGTCGCCCCTAAAAAATTACCCCATACTAAGTGTATTTTAGCTTATATTATTAACTAGCCTTATTTCAATTACTCGTACCCATACTGTCTTTTAATAATGGCGGTTTAGCCTTATTAGAGAATTAATTAATCCCATAAACTTGCATTGTTTCCTACTAAATTAAATCACGTAAGTTTGTCGCTCAAATTTACGTACCAAGAAAGAATTGTTCTGTATGCAGTAGTATTAGGAAGAAGTAGCTATGTGTTTGGATAGATTAGGGGGGAGGAAAAGAAGGGAAGGGAGGAGAAGGGGTGGGAAGGGAAGGGGAGGAGAGGGAAAATGAAGAGTTTTCCTTTCAAATTCCTTCATTGTTGGAGAGATCAATTTCTTGTAATTCTATCTCTTCATTTTTTCCCCTCCAATTCTCCTCCTTCCTCTTCCTCATTTGCTATTCAAATGAGAGATTATCAATCCCTCAATTTCTCTTCCCTTTCTTTCTCTCTAGTTCCTTCAATCCAAACAAAATGTTAGTGGAGGTAATTAAATCTTTTGGCATTATCGTGTTAATTTTATGTGAGTTTTCTCACCCACTCCCTCTCTTTTCTTTTCTTTGTTTTTTATGAAGTAATAAAGTTTATACTACATAATTTCATGAAATAAAAAGGCGGATGTTTTGTAAACTTAAATTTAGTAATAACATATAGGCCAAAATACACCACTAAATGCTTTTCCATGTCACTCTAATCATCCTTCTTTTTTCTATTTAGGTAAAAAAAAAACACTTTGATTTATTTTACATCAACATTCAAAAGGCACATATCCCCGAAAAAAGAAAGAGAAAAATGATACTCCACACTAAACTTGCCTTTTTACCAAAAACAACATTCACAAATATACAATTTCAATGACGTGATAAACTTGAATCATGTAATATATGTTGGGATTTTGGGAAGGTTCATAAATTTTTTGTTTCATGCAAAATAATTAACTTGCCTAAATCGATATGTTGCTTATAAATTCACACAGAGTATAAAAAAATAAATGATGCATTTTTTAAAATCGATTTTTGATTAAACTTTATTTTCAAATCAACAAATAGTTTTGGATTATTCTTCATAAGATAGATCTTACACGGTTATCAACCTACACACATTAATTAACTTTTTTCTTAATATAAATTTCTCTAACGATCTTGTTAACGAACGCCTTCGGACGTTAGATAAGCATTTAAAATATTTTTTAAAGTGATATAAATTTGGAAATGCATGCCAAAATCACGCGTCGATCGGTGTAATTAATGCTCATTTTAATATAATATTTGGAGACGTTCATTAGCTTTTGCCTTCTCTAAATTGCAATGTACGTCCAAAGCGAATCGACATGACACTTGTCATGTTCTGATTAAAAAATTCCCCACCACTTTCACTTTTTTTTTTTTTTTTTTTTTTTTTTAATCTGCATGCATATTAATTGATATATCCTATAATATCTAACTTTCAATTTGACAACTATATTCTAGGTATATTCTATATGCATTCAATAAAAATATTTTAACATATCTTTCATATATTTTATAATAGGTATTTTCAATAATAAACAACATATACTACGTATATAAGGGAATATTATTAGAACAATATACTACTCCCATACTCTGTATCATTCTACATCGTATTTTTTCATTTGAAAGTTTTTTTTGCTCCAACCAGGATTAACACTATAACTTTTATTATATATATGTTGATTTATTTATAATAATAACACTGCATTTCAATAACTATAAATATAAAATAAAAATAAAAAAAACTTAGCTTGATTATTAATTGTCACAAAAAATAAGTCATTTAATAAATTTGTATAAAACACTTGTGCGGGTTAAAGTATGTTATAAAATATTGTGCCGGTCAAAACATGCCAACAAAATAGGGACATATAGGGATATAACATTACACGGGTTATAAATAACATAAAATTTTATTTTTATATAAAATCCTATAATCATGAAATTTGTGTTTTTTTTAAATGTTTAATGATCAATACGAGTAAGTTTTGATATCAATATAACATAAAATTCAAGTTAGTTTTTTTTTAAGAAATTCAAGTATTTGTTTCAATTAGAAATATTGATTTTTAAAAAAAAATTATTATTAAATTAATATAGTAATTTATAATTAGGTTAAGGAACTTAAACTAGATTTTTATAAATTCCAAAATATAAATGTGGGCTTATTATTTAGGGAGAATATTGAAACTTGTCAAGACGGCAACGTTTAACTATTTCTCCCCATCAACGAACTCCTCGTTATATTTCCACGGTTGAAGTCAGATCAAACTGTTATATTCAGGTGAGCTTTTCTTTTGATTCCACGAATTTATATTCAATACGAGTAATATCTAATTTCAATACTTTGAATTGCTTGAGTTAATTGGTACTTTGCTACTACTCTATTAGGATTATAAGTTTCATTAGTGTTAATTGACTTACTTAATTTGATCCATTTTTTGCTAATTACTTATGAAATTGCTTAATTAATCTCACACTGGCTGCTCCAATTTTTCGCATTATTGGGAGATCATTTTCTATCTAATGCACCAGTATTATGCAAAAAATTGTTACCAAGTTTTCATCTTTCTTTTTTTTTTTTTCAATTTGAGTATAAAAATTCTATTTTTATGCGATTTGGTATCAATATTCCTTTCTAGGTCTTTTTAATTGAACTTATTATAGAAAAATACCCTGAATCTGATTTGAATTATTCTTGGTTTCGTGGGAATCTTTACTTCTGTGTTATTGTGATGAAACAGCTTTTATACAGATATGTTATACTTGGATAATGTTCCCACATCTTATATTAATGCAAGTTGGGATGGCCCATACTTATGACTCAATGACTCATGTTTTAGTAATTTTTATTTTGAGAGTTGTTTGGTTTGCGGAGTGGTATGGG